CTTAAATTTTCACATGGGCGACTAGGCTCTTGCGATAGAAAAGCAAAAAGATTTTTGCCTGATTTTCAAGATAAGCGTTGGTGATGTCTTTGTGTACATATGTATCTATATATAAAATTCATACTACATTTTTTGTGAGTATAGGATCAGTAAACTGCTAAACATACGTATGTAGTTTAGAATAAAAAAATATTACAGCGCGCGACGTCATCTTGGTCAACATAAAGTTATCGTCGATGGCATGTAATAACGAGTGATCAAAAAGTTTTCGGACAAAATGTTTGTCTACTTTTGAGCTCCTAGAAAGTGTTTACGACGAGTCGATATCGATGAGTTAGGACCAGGATTTTGTGTTCTTTCAGAATATGGTCTTAGAAATTTTTTTTCAGTTTCTGTTCGGGAGTAGTAGAATAATCTTTGAAGAGTTCAAAAAAAAATCGTTTGGACAAAACATGTGGGCTGAAGTTTCCGATAACCATATTTGTGCATTTTGGTTTTCTTGAAAGTATTTCAGCCGAGCCAAAAACTATAGTTCTTGGTTGGAATTTTGTGCTATTTTTAAATATGAATTTAGAAATTTTGTGTCTATTTTTGTTCAAGAGTATGAAAGAACTTTTTGAAAAGTCCAAGAAATTATATTTAATAGTGACTCAACAGGTTTTTGTTTACCCTAAAAGTTTCATTTCGGACATGCTAAAAATTGTCGGCATCGATCGTTTCATAGAGACGATACTTCTCTACAATGTTTTATGTTGAAATAAGCCGTAGCTTTTGTTCAAATGAAGCGACAACCATTTTATCAAGAGCTTCTTTTAACGCAAAAAGATCTTGGTCACAAGATCGATTTTTCCAAAAACTAGTATTTAAGAAAAAAAGAATATTGGCTTGTCTTGTTGAAAGGCATTGAAATTGTGCATGTTGTGGGGCAGCTTGTGATCTACAAGCTCATATATAAATAAAGATCCCAACTTTAATTTCGAATTGAAATGATTAGTGAAAAATACAAAAAATGTACTGAAAAATTTTGTCCAAACGATTTTGTTTGAGCTCTTCAAAGATTATTTCAGTACTCCCGAACAGAAACTAAAAACAAATTTCTAAGACCATATTCTGAAAGAACACAAAATTCTGGTCCTAACTCATCGATATCGACTTGTCGTAAACACTTTCTAGGAGCTCAAAAGTAGACAAACATTTTGTCCGAAAACTTTTCGATCATCCATTATCATTTGCACTGCTAGGTTTCATATCATAATCTCTTAAAACTTATATGTCTGCGTCTACAATCGATGATTCATGACATGAAATATTTTATACATGTAAGTGTTGCATATGATGTTGATAAGATTTACTTTTTTATATTTTACTTTTTCCCTTATTTTCTAAATGCATGCAATGAACATTTGCACTTTGTGCCTTTGATTCATCTGAATAACACCGAAAATAAAACATCGAAAATAAGACATCGAAGTCTGAAAATGTTAAAGAAGAATACTGTTATCTTTTCTCACTCTTGACTCTACATTTTCACATGCGAGATTCTACTTTCGAGATTTCTGCTTTGAATATTTTTATTTTCGCCTAAATTCCGGTTTATCGTATCGTAACAATCTCAAAAAACGGAAAGTCAGATTATGTTTATTTAAATATTAGTGGAAAATTTCGAAACCTAACCAAAATAATTCATCCATTGGTTCCTCAGAATGTCTAGATACTTTATAAATAAGCCCTAAAAATAATGACTGAACATGTACAAGCGCAGTGGGTACAAGCGCAAATATTACTTAACAAATGTACTTTGGACCCCTACTAACGTACAATTTACTTCAGTATATGCGCACTTAGCATCGGTACTAAGAACTTTTGATTGAATCAGATCATCGACATGTAACTTTTCTCGATACATTAACGAATGTAGTAGTCTGTCTTTCAGACCACGTTGTTCGTTTTTTTTTTCTAAATAGTGTATAAAAGAAAAATAAAAGATTTACTATCGCATATAAGACCAAAGTCCTTTGACAGAGATAAAATAATTTATACATGGATCAAAATTGAAAACGCTCGAATCTCGATGTATTATAAAATACAGAGTAGTTGTCCAATTGGAGTTCGAATATGAATGGAAATTTCGGCGCGACCCATGTTCTTCAACATCCGACAGAAAAAGAAAGTTTCCTTTTTCCTAAAATATTATTTATCATTAGTATAAATGACTCATCCATGTAAATTTAGGAAAATAAAAAGTCTTTTTTCCTCAATTATAATTTATAATTCACAATTCTATAAACGGATATAACGAATATTACAAGAAGACATTTGTATAAGCATTTTCCCACACCACACGTTGCACCATCCACCATAATGTGTATACTGTGCCGTCATCGACTTCAGCAATGCACTTTAGAATGGACTTTGGGACATCATCATATTAGGCGCTTCGCTTTGGGCTTTTGTGTGTAGATTTCGTCCAACACTCCCATAATTTCGGTGACCTCAACGCCTCCAGATATGAACGTCGCGCGACCCTCACGATCTTCGATGCATCCGTGATTGAAGGTATAGATCTCGTGCGACTCTCATCCTGTGCAGTGCCTCTGTTCCCTCAAGTCATGACTTCGTGGCACCCACACGATGCGCGGTATCCTCTGCGACCTCAAGTTTCTACTTCGCGGCACCCTCACCCAGTGCGCTCGTTTCTATGCCCACAGGTCTCGATTTCACGGCACTCTCACCCACTGCGGTGCCCTCAGGTCTCGACTTCACGGCACCTTCACACTGCATGATGCCATGAGCTCTGAATTTTGGGGCACCTTACCATGTGCAATACCATCTGCTCCTTCAGGTGTCGATTTCGTGGCGCCCTTACACTGCCTGATGCTCTCTGCGCCCTCAGCTAAAGACTTCGCAGCACCCCCACGTTGCTTGAAGACCTCTAAACTACCAGGTGTGGATTGTGCAGCACTCTGGCCCTAATCTATAACATTTTCTTTTCCTAAATATACATGGGTCACCCATTTATATGAATTGTAATCTATGATTAAGAAAGAAAATACTTTTCTTTTCCTAAATTTACAGGGTCACGCATTTATATGAATTATATTTTATAATTAGGAAAACTTTTCCTTTCCCTAAATTTATATGAGTCACCCATTTGTATGAACTATAATTTATAATTGAAGAAAAAAACTTTTTCCTTTCCTATTTTCCTAAAATAACAGGAAAGTTTTGTTCTTTTTTATTTATGTTCGAAGTCATCTTATGTAATTGATGCTTCATTTATATTCGAACTCGAATTAGGCAGCTCATGTATCATTTACTAAAATATAGAACATACATACGATTTTATCGATAGAATAGTTGATATTATAGTCGCACCCACAATCACTGATTGAAACTAAAATGATCAAACAAAAAAAAAGATATATTTCATACAATTTTATAGTGGTTCATAATCGATGCTTCATCTAGTTTTGACATTGTTTTAATACTTTCACAATAGATAATCTGTAACTACTGAAAAAAGTCAATAGATAAAACATCTGAATCTTCTGTTTTCTTCTTTTTCATAAAATGCAACCCTTTTGAAAAACATCCCACAGGACGAAAAACTTCTAAAAAATATCGCATTCCATAGGATGAGAAAGTTACTGAAAGTCTCCCATCCAACCCCATGGGACAAACATCTTTTATAAATTTTTTTTTTTTATTAAGAACAATACAATTGCTATGATATAGATCTCATTCTCGTTTATTCGAGCGTAATAAAGTACAAAGTAGAACTTTTTTTCTATTCTGTAAGTGGCGATTCTCCCTATTTTTAATGGTCTTCATTTACACTGAGAATGGTATGTGTTTTTTCATTGTGAAAGTAAAGAAAAGAATTGTGAACTTAATTTTGATAAAATTATGAAATTGAAAATGAAATAATATAATATTGGATAGTCTTAGTCGAACTGATGTGTTAATAAATTGTACTTTTTTAAAAAGGTATTTGACGAATGTGAAGTTCCATTGGATGAAATAGGACGGAAAATTATTGAGGATAGTCTGATCTCATATTGGACAAAAAATTGTTGAGGTCTCTTCCATCTCATGGGATGATCTTTTTCGTTCCATCCCATTCCACGTGGAGCCTTGCTAATCATGATTCCAAATGGCCAACTTTTTTCAAATACACAATAAGAAAAACGCCATATGGAAAAACTGAAATAAATATGAATAACATTCTGACTAATATTTCGACATGGACAAAATCAGATATTTTTGAAATCAAAGTCGGAAGCATTTTTCGTCATACTATAAACAAACTTTAAATATTTCACATACACGATTGTATTGAATATATTTTTTACTGAAAATAATTAATAACTTCTTTTTCCATTTTTTATTCAACATCATCTCTGTTTTCAATTCTATCGGATATTATACTTAATATTTCGCTGGTTATGATCATTACCTAACTTAATCTCGATCAAGAATTCTAAATATCCTAATTAATATTTAATAATTTTGAAGAAGATAATTCTTTTTTTTTTTTTTATTAAACCTGTGAACTTGTAAATACAGCAAGAAAAAAGGGTATCTTATTTTCTTTTTTTAAAGTTTGATAAATAGTTGTTTTAGCTGTTGACCTTTAGAAAGAACAAAGTTTGTACTATACCAATTTTAAGTAATAGAGAAAATGAACACAAGACAAAAAAAGAATGAAATAAACACCAGAGTTACTAAAGAACGAAAGATGATGCTTGATTTTCTTCTATTTTGTATTTTTTTCAATAAGGAGTTATAATGAGTTAAACAGAAATAAAAAAAAAAAAGAACGAAATAAAACGACAAGCACAATGTAAGGGGAAATATATTGGAACCGAAAAAAGGGATATATATATATTTATATATTAATGGTGTTTACGTTTTTTTTTGTACAGTTACACAAGCAAAAAAATGAAATCAAACGCATACATTTAAGTAAATCAAGAATAATATAACAAATTGTTCAGTTTTTAATCGAAACTGCGGCTTAAAAGATAATTAGCTGCCAATTTTTCATTACGGCCACGAGCAATATATGCTTCAATAACATGATTACGTTGAAAACCCATATCTTGTAACTAAAAGAAATATGATTTATTTTTTTTTTTTAATTTAAATTGATAGCGAACTCTATTTATTGCTTGTTGATCTTCAGATGAAAGTATGATTGTAATTGTTCCTGGAGGAACTTGACCGCCAACGGCTTCAACTTCAGCATCACCTTGTAATGCATCATCAGCACCTTCTTCTTCATTTTCATCATCATCTTCCTCACCTTTATCATCACCACCCTCACGTTCATCAGCTTCATTTACTAATTCAAGAAATTCTTGTTGTCGTTGTTTAATTATCTATAGAAAAAAAAATAATATCAAGAATATGAAATTATTTTTAAATATGATTTTACTTGAAAAATTTTCGGTTGAACAACTTGTAATGTTAGCATAACAATTTGAAGGCTATCAGGATCTTCTTGAATTAAATGACGTAGTGCTCGAAAACTTGGCTTTCGAATCAATTTGGATAAATTATCTATTCAAAAATGTCATTTATTGTGAAGAAAAAAAAACTCTATATATGCTATTAAATAAAGAAGATAAAAGTCTTGATACGTCTCTAAAATAATGTAATTACTAAGAATTTTATGAAATAAATTTTTCGACTAGAACTTTCAGATTCAATCACATTTAAGGATATAACAATTTAAACTTTGGGGAATTGTCATAGGAAACTTCAACTGATGCTTAACTTTTATTGGCACTAATTAATACTGAACTATTTTATTTCTTATTAGGAAGAAATATTATTTATATTGAACAGAGTAAATCCTTTTGTAATGTTTTTAGTGTCAAACTCATGCAAAAAAAAACTGTAGAAGTAGAATATAATTTATTACATGCAGCAGGTGGTCGGCCACCAGCAGGTGTTTGTCCTGATTCATCTCCTTGACTTGATGCAGGTCTTTCATTAAGATTAGGAATGTTACCCTAAATAAAAAATAAAAAATAAATAAAAAAAAATATTATTTCTATTTACCATTTTTAAATATTTAGCAGCACGTTCTACATGATAAAAACTTGCACGTAATGCTAAGTCAGCTTCTGTACGATCAAAACCCATATCAGTTAATTCAGTTAAAGCTTTTTCACGAGTTTCAGGTAATAAAAATGAATCTTGTGAAGCAGCAGGAGTATTGCCAGTTGATGGAGTTGTTCGAGGTTGTTGTTGTGGAACCGAACTTGTTGTTAATGGTGCAACAGATGATGACCTAGAAAAGAATTTCTTTATTAAATAAACTTTTAATATTTTTTAACAAACCTAGCATAGGTAGTAGTATGGCTTGGTGTATCAGCAGAACCTGCAGATCTCTATAAAAATAAAAAGAATAATGAATTCGTAATTTAATTTAAATGTTAAAATTAACTTACTGGTGGATTTTTAGATGGTGCTTGTTTAACAACAACAAGAGAGCTATCTCGATTTATTGAATAAGATTCAAGTGTTTTTGAATCTTCGAGAATCTTTCCCGAAAAAATTAATATTGTTGCATCGGTCTCATATTTGTCCTTAAGATTTTTGGTTGCTATTTTTTCTTTTATTGTTCTTACCTAAGAATAGAAAAATAAATGTAATTCATTAAAATTCATTTAAAAAATTACCGTATCAGTTAATTTACATTCAATTGTAAATTTTTCATTCCAAGCTGTCTTTATTTGAAGTTGCATTTCTGATTAATAATTAATGTCCAGTATGCAAAAAAGAATTAAGATAGTACCAAAATAGACGAAGTTCTACAAGAAAATTATGCATATGTATTGATAAAATATGTACAAAATATAACTTCTACAAATCAACACTATACAAAAAAAACAATATGCATAGACGATCGAAGAATCCATGTTTTTTTTTCTTATGATACATGATCTGACAATATATATATATATATATATAACATGGAAATAAACATGATTGGTTTCTATACGCACTTAATCATTTCATCTCTGATTCATTTGTGTATGTCAGAAAATGATGTTTTTTATTAAACTTTAATAAATTATCAGTTCAATTTATCTATTTGATAGAAAATAATGACGATGCAGAGAAGTGAATAAAAAATGATAATAATAATTGCAGATTTAAATTTATTAATGGTACATTTATTTTAATAGAGCTTTTGAGTCATCAGGGCCCATTATCAGTATAGCTTGGTAATAATATTTATGAATTCTGCTTGATTTTTGATAATTATATGAAAACTAATGAATCAATATAATTTGTTCGAAATTAGTGGAAGGCGATGAAAATCAATGAAAACTGTATAGTAGAGATCAAATACTATCTATATGCACCTGTTTAATACGAAAAAACCTTGAATATAAAATGTAATAAAAAAAAACAAAGTTCAATGCTAAGAATACTTCCATGGACAGTCAACCACAAAAACCACAAAGTATTCAGAAAACTTCTCATTTTATTAGACTTTGTAGAGCTTTTATCGCTGATCATTTCGGTAAAAAAACATTTTGGATTTCCTTGAGAAATGACGGTATTATAGTCAAACTATTAAATATTGTGAAATGCCGAGTGTTCCAATATGTTTCCAACATAGTTTGTTGTCTAAATATATCTACGCAGACACATGATGAAATCTTGGTTTTCTTTCAAAAGATGCATCGCGAAAAGCTCTACAAAAATCGTAAGAAGAAAATCCTATTGGCTTCTTTCGATGGTTTCTTCCATACTCAAAATGAAAAGCAAATACGTGATAGTGCTATTTCCCACCGTATTTAACATAATAAAGATATTTGGAAGACTTTCACTAAAATTCGTGATATCGATTGAGTACAGGCTACGTTCTTTGGGTGGTCCCTTTTGTGCAATGACTCCCAGGGAAGTCTCGTTAAAGGATTATTTTTTAAAATACTCGACAAAATTGCTGAAACATTTTAGAAGAATCTACTGAAGGAGTTGACTTCCAACAAACAACAATGCTTTTTTTCTGTCGCTACTTCGAACTTGAAAATATACTATAAAAGTTGTGGTTTTATAAAAAATGAAAAACTCCCAAATCAGTTAGCCGAAAGAGTACAAAGCACGAAATTGAATAAGGGTACTTCCATGCAGATCCTCCCACTTTTTACAGACCATTCTGCCGGCAAGATTTAAGTATGCTAGTTTTGTAGCCCTCGTCAAGTTATATAGGAATTGATATTTGGTTTCGATTGAGGGTGTGGGTGTGTGGGTGTGGGTGTGGGTATCGGTGTGGGGTGTGGGTTTGGATGTCGGTGTGGGGTGTGGGTGTGGATGTCGGTATGGGTGTGGGTGTCGGTGTGGGGTGTGGGTTTGGATGTCGGTGTGGGGTGTGGGTGTGGATGTCGGTATGGGTGTGGGTGTCGGTGTGGGGTGTGGGTTTGGATGTCGGTGTGGGGTGTGAGTGTGTTTGATGAAAAGACCCACATCCACACCCATACCGACATCCACACCCACA